CTAGCAGTATGTAGCACTATTTATGGGTTACCCCAGCAGCTCACTGTTTCTGTGTTAAATTACTCATTAGTGAGAGACAGGACAAATGTTTCTTACAGTGTGTTGGAGTTTGTCATACGACAAACATCAGTAACATCCAACAGAAGTCAAATTACAGCTTAAACAATCAGTAACTTCATACGTCCAGAGAGTTGCAGCTTTCCCAGTGTAAAGATTTGTTGCTGTACTTAGTTCAGTACAGTATCTTTAGGTTTCAATCTGTTGATTGGACAAAATAAGTAATTTGAAACATTAAATCTTGATGTTAAGAAGATTGTAAGTTATCATTTTCACAATTTTCTGACATTTTATAGACCAAATGATTAATCAAGAAAATAATTTTCATCTTAAATGATAAAGAAGTAAATTATTACTGGTAGTCCAACTGTAACTACATAGTAGAATATTTGCTTACTATGGCTTTTCCACGTTCAAGATGCAGAATTGAATCAAGAAGAAAAGCTGTGTAGAATACATGCAAAACATTGTTACTACAAGTTATTATTGAAGAGTTTAGATTATTAAATGTTGACTTAGACAGTGATGGTGTGATGGGAGGTTATGGGAAATTATTTCTGGGCGTGGTCCACAGTGAGCTGTGACAATACATTCTATTGTTATTCACACAACAGGGAGTCTGTCCCAGGTTCCCTGGAAAGAGGATGCTGAGGGCCAAATTGGATTTCTGGCTGAATGAGGAATCTGCTACTTGGGGACTGTCTAGAGAAAGTTGAGCCACCAGCTCTTTGTGGGGCTGCTGCTGGTGTGTCATTCATATGTCGCGGATCCTCCAGAGTTATTGAGATTCAGAGGAAAGTTCCCTCTGGCCAGGTGGAGGGCTTCTCCAGCTGCTGGACAGCACAGATCTGCTCCTGGGCCACATTATAAGTGTTTAATCCTTTTCCTGCTGCTTTGAGTGACAGGGACACCCCATAAAGAGTACATTTTCTCAGACTGCTCCAGGCTTTGCTACAACTGCAGTGCTAAATCTAACCCTCAGGGAGTGACTCAGTTATTGTAAGCTTTCAAAACAGATAATAGGAAAACATTTTAAAGAAAGAAAGTACTTTATTGAAAAGCCACTGAGGTAAAACATAAAGCAGACCATTATATAAAACTCCAAAATTCAGAATTTCCCTGATATTTTTCTGTAAAACCTATTTAGATTAGATGTATTCATGGTTAGACAGATTGGCCATCAGTAGAATTATTAAGACAATATACTTAAGTGTAAAATTATTAGTTTGGTCTCTTAATATGTCAGTTTAGACATTTAGTTGACAAAAATTACAGACAGTTTAATCCATTTTTAATCATTGAAACTGTTCATGCTTTTTCTTTTAGTACTATTTTATGATTTTCTTTCTTTACAGTGACATTTAATTAACACAGTTTTAGCTCAGTGAATTCAGTTTATTGCTGTGTTAAATGTTCAGAAGCATCTTTTACACTCATTGCAGCCTTTAGCATGTGCGGACATTTATACATGTAGATCTCATTTTGTTAGGGTCAGCTGTGATACTAAAATCTCCCAAAATGTTCCAAAACAGCTTTTTTTTTTAACTTGTAAATACGTAGCTTTTTTATTATTGTTGTTTGTTTCACTGTATTCTTCAATAGGTATAGTATTTGTAGCTAAAGCCACTAAAAAGGTTGGGAAGTTTTGCTTGTGGCACATTTTTGTTTATACATCAGAGGCTTTTATCTCGGTAATGTTGTAGTCTGCAAGATTACACAAAATTTCTTTTAATACCACATTAATCCGCAATCCCTCTCTGCCCAGCTCACTTTGCTGTAATTGTGTTTATGGCTCCACTTGACTGCCGGTCTCCTTCTGATCTTGATTTTTGATTCTTATTGTTTTGCCGACACCAAAATGCCAGCTAATAAAAAGCCTACAAACATACTGTGAGATGTTAAATGAATTTCAGATATCAGCAGTGTTGCTGACACACTCGCTTTATTGACAGTGTTTCCATGAAGAACTGTTCACAGCTACTGTATGTGCTACTGGCACTGCAGAAGAAAAATGGAGGTTCTTTACTGACATGGGGTTTGATAAAATAACAAGTCTTGCTTATTGTATGTGAAATTGCTGCAAATAGAGTTCAATTAAAAGGCACTGTAAAACCTTTAATCACATAAATGAGAATAAAATTGTTTTCTGAATACAGTTATAGCCTACTAGTTTTTATTTTTGGTTTGGAACATTTTTTTTTTTGTAAATATAAATATAAATTTTACACAAACTCAAATTGTGAGGACAAGGTTAGCATTGTAAAATATCCAACCAGCATGTCCTCAACTGCAACAGGGTCAATTTTTTAAATTTGCGGTGAAGACAAAATCACAAATTTTTTTTGTTACTTGTGGAAAATGTTGCACATTATGAATGTCAGATGTGAAAAAGTAGAGCTGTGTCTAAAGCATTTTTATCCTGAATCTGGACAGTCAGATTTTTTTCCAGCAGTTGTTGTTCTGTAGTACAAACACAGGCAAAAAAAAAAAAACCCCAATAATGCAGGCTAGCTGGGACCCACTGAGCTTTTTTTCCAGGCTGGTGAAAAGAATGAATAATTCAACAGTAAGCAAGCTTTCAGCTGGCCATTTGTGTGCTTTGATCTAGAAATCAGGAGTTTGCATGAATGCCTGTATTGTCATGTTTCCACATTGTGTTAATTATTGAAAATAGTGCGGGCCCCGCTTCATCTGGTAAAGTTTACATGGCAGGCTGGAAGTGTAGATTCCCAGATGTTGTTTATTTGTCCTGTAAAGTCACGTGACTGGGTTCATTAAGGCTGGTCTCGGTTAAGTGTTCAGTATAAAAAGACCTCCGAGGTTATCCCTCACCAAACATGACGTCACATCACAGTGTAATGTGTAGGTGTGGCCTGCAGCCAGGTGCTGCAGGTATCAAAGCTCTCACCTTGACATGTGTACACGCTGTAAACTCTGTTTAAAATCATGAAAGTTAAGATCTTTATCTATAATGGCCAAGGACTTGTAAGATGCTGTAGTAGCCAGAAAAAATATCTTTTTCAATTTAATAATGAGTAAAATCTGCACATTTGAATGGAATTCTCTTATAATAGTAAGAAGGAAACTTTATACAGCTGAACTTAAACAGTTAGTTGATTGATGTGCACTACCAGTCAAAAGTAAAAAAAAAATCACTGGGTCCTGCCTCTGAATTGTAAATTTTTTATTTTTATTTTTATTGATTTATCATTGTCTGTGAAAAGAAACAGAACAATTGAGGCTGAGACTGTTGGTTGGACAAAACATTTGAAGTCATTATGGACTCCAGCAAGTTTTTTTTTTTTCAATATTTGCTGACCTTTTATGGACCAAACCGTTCATTAATCCTACTGTATGGACATAGTGGGTTCTAGGGGCTGTAATTCAAGCCTCTCTACCCAGACCAATCTGTCATTTAGCACACTGGAGCAGTATATAAACACTGGAGTCTTAGCATCTCTTGAGTGTCTAGCACTATTTTCTTGTTTATGGATGTATTCAGCATGTCTGCTGTGTTGTTCTGTTTTTTTGTACCTTTGAGATTTACTCTTGCACTCGGTCACATCCTGTGATGCCTGATGTGCCTCTGTTTGATAGAAAAAGCTTTTTCTTATGATTATCTAAGATACACCTTAATAGCACATGTGGGATCTGTTGTGCTTCCTTTGTGTCATAATTAAAGTAGGACCATTAACTGATAATGAAGTGAATGTAGGAAAATGTTTTATTATATTGAGGGTTTGGTGCATTTCAGAGAGGACTAGAGTAGATCCATGGCATCAGTTGGCTACAGCTGGACACATAATTAGAGTGCCTCCTTACCTATAATTTGTGTAATAGTTTTGGTTGGCGGCATGTTATTACCATATGAAAGGGCTAAGCAGGGGTCATGTGCACTGCTACAGCAATTAGAGCAGAGCTGAGGGCAGAAGAATGTTTGGAGCTGTTGTTAATTGGAAATCTCTACAAAGCTATGCTTTAATTATAATTTAGTCAGAGCTGCACTGTTTTAAACCCAGTATATTCAGTTGCCATTATTTTCTGTAATAGTATGAACAGCTAGGTCTGTTTCCTTTCAAAGCATCAGGCTTTGAAGAGAATGAGATTGAATTAGATTAATTTGAAAGGCTGTGCTGCTGCTGCCAGTGGTTTTTTTTTCATGCTAATGTCACATGGTGTTTTTGCAGTGAAGCTGGAGATGGTTTGTTTAGGAGATGTACATACCTTCTGATTTGCATGCAGTCAAAATAGGCTAATAGACCTTATTTATTTTGTAGCTTTGTGTCTATTCCATGACGTTATAAAATAGGAAAGCTTCGTGAATGAAACATACATGATAGCTACTTAGCCAAGTTGTAATTATGATTTGTGAATAAAGCTACATGTTACTCCCATAGCATTACATAGTCATTATTTATAAATAATATTTTCACACTGATTTGTGGTTAAAAACCTTGCCATACAAGTTAAAATCTTTTAGGACCTTAACAGTATTAATTAACTGTAAATTGCCTCCTACATCTTATCTTTACATTTCATTTTATTAGTCAAGCAATTTTACAATGGAAAGATCCACTTAACTAATTATTAATGGTATAAAATGCTTCATTCAACCTAAAAAGAAGAAACAAGTACAACAAATAGTGTGGAAGTGAGTGTTTTATAAATGGGTAGCGACAGATTCCAGTCATAAACTCACCTGCTGGTTTTTGCATGTGGTTGATCCTTCAGCATTTGGGTTGCTGTCAAACCTCAGCTCAAATGTATTGCTTACTATGTGCATTTGTGTTTGATTGTTAACAAGCAAGCAAATCCACATAAAACACCCAGCTACAGATATGATGCATTTTTTCTGTTTTCTAAATGTTGATATTGAGTTTACCCCTGTGGTTTTTGCCTTTTGTTTAACATTCAACACTTTTCTCATTTTCTTGTTTACACAGGTCGAAATGAGCTGATAGCCAGGTACATCAAACTTCGGACCGGGAAGACGAGGACCCGGAAGCAGGTAAGATAAGAGGAGACGTCTCTCTCAAACCTGAACGTGTGCAGACGGTTGCCTTTGTTTCTGCTGGAGAGAAACAAAACTAGACAGAGATTAACACAATGCTAAGCTGTCGAGGGGAATCCTGAGGTTGAGAAGTTCCCTGTCACTGCTGTGATGCATGAACAGATGCCTCTGGCTTATGACATTTCCAAAACGGTCACTCTTACATGTGCATATAAGTACAGCTATAAAAGCAGTAGTTGTAGTAGGTTTGTACAGGAGAACTGATTTATTTTCCCATTTTAAAAGCATTTACAAACAGTGTCAACCTTTTACTTAAAAAGCTGCATTTCATGTGTTTTATTAGTGCTTTTTAGTTCTTTTAAAATAAAGCACTTTCTGTCATACAATAAATATGAGCATTATCAGACCTGCCAAATCTGTATGCATTTTGATATCAAAGTACACCGGAACAGTTCGTCGCTCTAAAGTATGCAAAAAAGCTGGTGACATCTTGTGAGTCTGACCTATTGTGCATCAGTGTTAAAGTCTACCCCAATGAGCGTCTAACCTGTAGGCATAGGTCTACATGCTGAAAAACAAAATAAGAGGAAGAGTTCAGCCGGTCATTGCTCATAGTGCCGGATTTGGGGATAACTGACAAATGCGTATTTGTATTGTCATTTCAAGAGACAGTAGCCAGGATTGTAAATCGACAGACGCTTTTGACCTCGATTTTATAACCCTCGCTCCCCCTCCTCATTCTCGTTGCCTGGTTCCTCAAGTGAACACAGTTCTTTGAACTCCATTAAAAAGGTAAACATACTGGGGGGATGTGGACAAGCATTCTGACTTTAGTTAACATTAGCCTAATGTTATGTTTGTGTATCTGTATGCAAGCTAGCTTGCTTGTTCACCATTTAAATTATATTGCCTTGACGTTTCATAGTATTAATAATATTTATCATTGCAGCCGAACCCATAATTGTAGTGAGCATCATATACCCCTGCTGAAAAAACATGTGTATGTGCTGCAGAAATTCCTCCAGTCTGCACTAATGTTACTCGTATTGACACCAGTCATCAGGGATTCCCAGGTTAATAATTGAACATCAAATGATGTGCATTTTCAGAGCAATATTCATGTATTGACAAGTGTTATGGAAAAAAGACAAATTACACCCCCCACCCACCCACCGGGTGTATGCGAAGGCTTTGTTCAAGGTTGACCGTTATTTTCATTTAACTAGTAGTAGCCACTGCGGCTTAACTGTGCAAGTATTCCTTCTCATAACTGAGTCATGGAGGTCATTCATGTGACCAGAGTAGAGGCCTTAATAGGAATGTGGAAGTCATAATAGATTGATACTATGTCTGATCAAAGAGTATTTGCTGAAGCTGGCATTGGAGAGTGCATCCTGTCTTCTGCAACATGCTGTGTGCATTGCTAACACACACCAGAGTTGGGCTTAGATTTCTGAAACCAGCTGTGATAAATGAATTATTCTGCTATATAATACATCATGTAAATGTAATTTAAATAATATGTGAATAATACAGAAGTCAAGGCTCTTAGTCTTTCTCTTATATTTATAATTATAGGCATTACATTACTTTTATACTTTTTATTCAAATTACCTAATAATGAGCAGCTCTGGTGGTGCTTCACAGTATGAAACCCATGGGCTGATCTCCCCCCCTACCCAGGAAAATTTATAGCTTATATAGCCGCCAACTTGAATGACAATGATAAACAAGCCAGCGTCTGCAGCAATATTCGATCACTGGGTGTGAATTGATCAGTCTGGGCCAGAAAGGCTGTGTTGTTTCTCTCGTCTCAACTCAGAATGAGAGAGAGCTGTTTACCTACAGCTACACCATGAAACACACATCTGTAGCTATTGTTAGTTTAAAGGTACGCCATGAATGGTATGTAAGATCATTAGAGCTGAAACGGTTCAGTTAATCAGTTAGTCAAAGATAAAATCAACAGTTTTGTCATTTTTCTTGTTCTTGAATGTTTTTGCTGGGTATTTTTTGTCTTCTATGAATAAACTGAATAACTGTGGGTTTTTAACAGCAGAATCTTTGAAATAAATTTCACAAATTTTCTATTTATCATTTAATCAACTAATTGTTTCAGCTCTAGTTTATTATCCTGAGGTGCAAGAAAATGTGTTTTCAGTATAAATACTTACCTACAGATGGTGCCCTTTCTATTAAGTCACTGCATTCCTGCTGCTAAAAAACTCACCTTAAGTGTGATTTGCATGAATTGTGCTAAGCGAGATGAAAAATCCACTCTGCAGCCCTGTCATCAATGCGTTACTTCTCTTACAACCCGCCACTTGCACTACTGAATGTTTCATGTGATAATATTAATAACTGTGAACTGTGTGAACGTCGGAGGTAAACCTGGCTGGTGAAATGCCTCGCCCAGCTCCCATAAGAATACTAGACGAGCCAATTCTCATTCAGCAGACAGCAGATCACATCTGTGTACTCTTAATGTGTGCCAAAGGGGCCTGCATCCTCCTTAATCAGTTCACTTAACTGACGACAACACACAGCATAACACTTTGGTGTGTGGTTTGGACATGCTTCTGTTATGCACCTTATCTCCCTCAAGTGTTTTTTAAACAAAGAAATGTGTAATCCACTTTACACTTTATTATTTGTTTTTTATGTTCCCTTTTCTCTTTTTTTTTTTTTTTAATGGAGGTGTCTAGTCACATACAGGTCTTAGCAAGAAAGAAAGTTCGAGAAATCCAAGCTGCCATTAAGGTACGTCTGGCTTTGCCCAGTTGCAGGGGGCTTTTCATTGCTATGGTTACAGGCTCTTCCTTTGTTTTCCTCCCCTCTCCTACCCCGCAGGTGTCTAGTCACATTCAGGTTCTTGCCAGAAGGAAATCTCGTGAGTTTCATTCCAAGCTAAAGGTATGCGCTTTTCTGCTTTTGGGCTTGTTGGTTGCTGTGCATCTTAACTTCCTGTTTCCTGTGGTGACAGAGTAAATGCCTGGTGCTCTGGTTCCCCCTAACCCAAATCTTCTGCTGACTGTAATCTAGGCTGTTGAGATTTTCTAAACTCAACCCCTCCACCTTCTCAGTCCATCTTACACTCATACTCACATATGCTGTCACTGTCCTGTCTACTTGGTTTCATCTACATGCATTCACTTTTCTTTATGGGCCTTTGCTTTGAGAGTAGCTGCTCATCATGTCCACGACTTAGTACAAAAATAGTGGTGACATTGGTTTTCATGTCATTAATAAAAATAACACATTTGATTAATAGCAATCATTCCAAAGCAAATGGTAGTTCTTATAGTTATTTTTTTAATTATAAATGAGCCTGACCAATGCTAGATGTTTGAGGACAGTAACTGTAGCCTACTGTATTTTGCTATTTTACATAAAACCTAACAAAGTATTGGTAAGCATCCTTTAAATGGTCGTTTTTAAAGAATAAAAAATAATAATAATAATAATAAAACCACAGTTCAGGTTTGCACCTGTCAGGTCGCATGCTGGCATTGGCTGTTGGTGAGTGGCTGAGAGCTGAAGGTCTGAGGAAATCGGTCTGCTTAGCCTCCTACTAAGCAGACTTCATAAAGGGGCATGGCAAAGGGGCTCTGTGTTTCAAAAGTAAAGAGGAGATTACACCTCTGCTTCCTTTGACAGTGTAACCCAACTTTTCGCCACTGTCAAAGGCTCAGTGGTGCGCATTCAGAGCAGAGAATGGCCGTGAAGCTGGCTGTTTTTCAAATGCCCTCTCTGCTTTCTTGTTCTCCCTTCAATCTGTTGATAACTCCAGGCTCGCACAATGCCACGGCTGTCACTTTCCTTCCTCCCAGTTCAGATGTCGTTATTTCAGAATGTTCCCGTCAGTTATTTCAGCAATAGTGAAATCTGTTAAAATGACTGAAGACAGCTTTTGAGAATGGCAGATTAAAATGGGAGAAATGCATTGTGAAAGAAGTAATCTTGAATAATACTGACCTGTAATTTAGGGTATTTTATGAAGTAATGCTTGTATATGAAAGGACATCTCCACCCATGTGCCATTTTCTTCTGGGCTTGGGTAACCTACTGTATGTTTTGACTTTCACACTTTGCTCCACTCCCAGTATTCAACATGAATTAATGACCCCCTCATTAATGTATGTGTGTGTGTATGTCGAGAGACGGAGTCAGACAGGCAGCTAGCCAAATGAATGCCTGGTCTTTCATGGGCACAGGCGGCTTTCTGAAGAAAAACAGACAGCTTTTGTATGAATCCCTGTCTTTTCTCATTTAAAACAAATTAGAGTTCAGTGGCAAAGAGAAATACAAGTGTGCCTTTCATTTCAGCGACCATCAATGAAAACCTGCTGTTTCTAGTCTTGTCTATGGCATTTTAGTGATATTATAGTCATTATTGTTACTGATGTTTTGTCTTGAGTGATGACTACTTATCAGATTGTATTATAGAGAGCAAGATACAGTATTGCCACAGAGGCGAGGATCATTTGTAAACACAAATTTAACAATCCTTTGTTAACAAGTTCTTACTTTTCACATTTGTGTTTGTTGTACTGTGTGAAGAAGGCTGGATGCTCAAACTAAAGAAGAATGTCTTGTTTCAGTGGTGTTTGGAGCTGTAACAGACTTCTTCGTGTATAGTTCAGACATGAACAATTTAAAAATATTGAATTGTTCACAATAAATTACGGACTTACAATAAAACCCTTTGTTTGCATTTAGGTTACAAGTATGGTAAGTATTTATTTTCTATTTATGTTGTTTGTGCTGTAATTAAGGCCTGTCTTGTGCTTCAGCTGGTAGTTTTGCATTTGTGCTCCTGTACTAGTGACACAGTAGTGGCTGCCCAATGTTTTCCCAGTTTATTGGTGTGTCTGTGTCTCACTGTGCTACAATGAACTATTGCCATATAGTAGCTTGACTGCACCACCAGCATCTGTTGCCAGCATGCATACCTTTAGCTTCTGCTATCAGCGAAACTGCATGGATTTATCAGTGTGTATGGCGTGTGTACTCTGATGCAGTATTCATACTAAATATAGTGGGTTCAGTATGACTTTAAAGAACATTGTTAATCCACATTAAAGGTAGGGTTGGCAATTCCTTCCAGAAGCATTTTTTGTTACATACATATCTTGAAATCCCGATGGCAATGAAAACATTAAATGCATCGATAACATAAAGAAACAAATCCATCATTTCTGGCAGCAGGACTGAAAAAAGCCTGACCCATAATTTTACTCGGCATGAGTAAAACCAGTCAATGGCCTATCTGCCTGTCAGCTGAACTTCCTACTTGCGCACACTCTGCCCGTGCACTCAGTGCATAAGCCAAGAGTCTCCCACAAGGCATTGCAGTTGCAAGCATGTTACTACTCTGTTTTGATAGCTAAAGCTAGTGAGCTATGGCTGAGAAGGTACCCAGCAGCTTTCGTTTGCGAATGTAGACCGATGTTACAGGCCAGGCTTTCCCCTTAAGACATATAGTCTTGTAGGTAATGTTGTTGTTGTTGCCAGAAGTACCTGCAAGCAGTGTAGGGAGTATGAGCAGAAGATCATCGTGCAGAACACACTCCTTTTAAATGCAGCTATGAGTGGGGAAAATACCAACAGGATTGTAATGCAGTTAACTGGGCATCAAAAGGCCACATGCAGTGTTTGTATTACCAGTAAAGCCTGTGTTTTGAATGCAGTTAGCTGGCCTCCCTCTTTACTTCTCCCCATTTCTAAGGCTAGTTACCGGCTACAAGCTACTTTGGTGTGGCTTTTGAATGACGGTGACAACTGAAAGAACAAAAGGGGCTGAAAAGTGACAACATGGCAGCTGTATTTCTACTGGACAGATAATTTTTGGTTTGTTTTGGGGGGGGGCATTTGTTATTTTCCTGAAATCTGTTAGTAGCCAAGCAGAGGGCTGCAGCATGCGTTGTGTTTTGGGGGAGCAGCTTTGGAGAGAAGTCAGAACAAAAGGGTGGGATTTCTTTATTTGGCTACTTTCAAATTTGAGCTTCCTCTTGCTGGTTTTTCCATTATCACCAACCCTACCTTTAACAAAGGACTAATTCTAAAACAATATACAATGTGTGGTGCACTTCTGCAGGCTGTTCGATTCTCTTTAAAAAACCTCTTGTCCAGAGATTAAAGAAACATTAATTGGAGCTGCAAAAGACTCTTAAGCACAAGGGACTAGAGGCCTTCAGGTTTACATGAGAAATTTTTTTTCAGTGTTTAGATACAGTATGTTTTGACATTCAGACAAATGCAACCTTGAGCAAGGTGCTGCTGAATGAGTTTTTCAAATGTATTTTAGTGGTAGATTAGTCAACAAGGGAATTTTAAGTGCATACCACTGTTAACCATTGTATTTTGGAATTCAAAGGGCAGTGTTTGACACGTTCCTACAAAAAAAAAAAAAAGCTTATACCTAAATAGCAATGCTGGTTCATTTTCTTTTAACCTGCTTGCTGTTTACTGTTGAGATGGGTCAGTTCATGGTGTTGCTACCTCTACAACATGCGCCACCTCCCTCTTCTATATGAGTACTAAGCCTTTTGTGATTGCTATTAAAGGACCAAGCTGTGAAGGACAAAGCCCTCCAGAGCATGGCCTCCATGTCCTCAGCTCAGATAGTCTCTGCCACGGCTATACACAACAAGCTGGGTCTGCCAGGCGTCCTGCGTCCATCCTTCCCCGGAGCAGGGGTAAGAGCTTTCCTGGCACCCCACTATTAATCCATCCTGTCCATTTTAACCCAGGGCAGCCATGGTCCAACCACACCCGGGCCAAATCACATTACACACCACAGCTTAGCACAACTGCCCCTATCAGATAAGAACATGATCAAAAGGAGTGGTAGTCAAGATAACTGCAGTCACTGAACATAAGAGCTTGGAGCCATTTTGATCTTGTTGCTAACAGCTGCTCACAATTGGATGTTCTTTGCTGTCTATTTATACATCTAATTCTCTAGTTATGGCAGGGTATGATATCGACTGGTCAGCCAGGATCCTCACAAGAGTAAGTATCATACTTTGGTGTTAGAGAAGAACCTATTCATAAAAAATGAAACTCTTAAAGCAGTACATTTAACATGTCCTGTGGAATTTCTCTGTTCCAGTATTAAGCCTTTCACGCAGCAAGCCTATTCCATCCAGCCAGCAGTCACAACAGCCATTTCAAGTGAGTATTTACCTAATTAAAAGCTTTAAAGGCAAAATGACCCAAAATGAACACCACAATTGTTTTCTGAATCTAAATGTTTTTATTTATTTTTCATGTGTCAAACTCACACCCTCTCCTTTCCCTGCTTGGTTTTAAGCATTTCAGAACCTCCTTTGTTGTGGCTTCTTGCTGTAAAACAAATCTGCTGATAGAGAGAGGTCTGCTAAGAGATAGCAGGGACAATAAAGGTGGGATTTGGTACTTTGAACCCACCTATATGTAACCTTATCTACTGGGCAGCTCCAAGAGGGAGTGAGTAAAGTAGATGCTGGGATTTAGTTTGTGACTAAGAATCAAATCAGTTTCAGTAACTCCGGTTTTTAAATCAGTTAATTTCCCTTTATGGTTAATGCTTGTGTGTAATGTCATTATCAATCAGGAGGGAGAAATCAATGAAGCTGCAGGAAATCCTATCATGCTACATATTTATCTTGAAAAATGCTCATTAAAATTAGAAAAGCAAAAAAAAATAAATTCCACAAGACATGCACTTTCTTTACGTGATGTGAGATCATCTTGCATTATTCACAAGGCTATTTTGTTAGATTTGAACAAACATTTTTCACAAATGTGATAAAATGTAGAAAACTAATTATATTCTATTAACTAAAAGTAACATTTTAAAATATTTATGAATCTCACAAATGCACAACTAAGGGCAAATCTGTGCATATGAGCATTTCCCCCATGTTGCATTGTTATCACTCAAAAATGGTTAAGGCGGGTAAGCATTTTATTTTGCAGTAATGAGTACCACAGCCAACAACAACGGAAGATAAGGCTGGATGGTTTGTGCATTATCATGTCACGAGGAAACATGTCACCCAGTGCAGCATGTTTCACTGATGTGTTTTTAATCAGTTTTGAACAACAATGCAGGTCTATGGCACAGATGAACAAGCTAATCCAGGTTGGAGACCAACAATCATGAGATTCAAGATTTTTATTTGCCATTTATCCATAAACAGACAGTCTAGGCATATAGGAATTCTTGTGCAGCTCTCCTTTGGAGTCAGGTAAGGAGTCAAAAGCCAGAAAGAATACTTAGTCTTAAAATAAAAAATTTACATAAAGGCAACAAAGCATTAAAACCATAATAAAAATAGGGTAATAGTATTTTCCCCATTGAACTTCAAACATTGCACTTAGTGATTCACATGGTGGAGTTGGATATGTCATTACGCCTGGTGAGGTAGTGAGGGGTTATTGCACAAATTTTCTCACATTTTCGTATTTGCCATCAGTCTTACTGCAGCAGAGAAGAAGCAGTTGTCAAGTCTTGTTCTGTGTGAGTGAGCTGGGTGGCGTGGATCCCTGAGTATGTTCTCCACCCTTTTACGACAGCACTGTGTGTACAGTGTGTCCATAGCAGGCAGTTCAGTCCCAGTTATCCTCTCTGCAGTCTTTATGACCCTTTGAAGAGCCTTCCTCTCTGCCTGTGTGGTGTTACCATACCAGACTGTGATGCCAGTAGTGAGGATGCTCTCTACCAGTCCTCTATAAGCCTGGGTGAGAGGGCAACGGTTCAACCCAGCTTTTCTGAGCCGCCTGATGAAGTATAGCCGCTGCTGGGCTTTCTTCACTGTGGCAGCTGTGTTCAGTGACCAGCTCAGGTCAGATGTCACCTGCAGGCCCAGGAACTTGTGGCTGTCGGCCCTCTCCACCTCAGTCCCCTTTAATGGTCAGAGGCAGCAGAGGGGAGGCAAGCAATTCTTTATTGGTCTCTTTATGGGGATTGCTGAAAACGCTATAAATATAGAAAATGGTTGGCCTTATCTTTTAAGAGTTTTAATTCTTTTAAAATTGACATGCTCACATTGTATTGTAAAAACACACACAGAGGATGAATCCTATGATCCTGGTGTTACTTTAGGTTACGAGCCAACAGCAGCTCCAGCTCCCACCGCACCAGCATGGCAGGGCCGCTCCATCGGTACATCTAAACTCCGACTGGTGGAGTTCTCTGCCTTCCTAGAGCAACAAAGAGACCCAGACACAGTGAGTAGAGCATTGTACCAACACATGAAATATCACTCTCTCATGGTCTTCATTCTCACATCTTACAGCCGAGTTGTTTTCCCAACATTTTGCCAGGTGTCAGTCAGCTAAGAGAAGTCTGGCCTGTAGAGAGAAAGAGCATGAAAAGCTGCAGAAATAATGACCGACTGTATATTATTCAGTTCTTAAAAGGCATGTCAAAATATATTTGCACTGTAGATTTTAGCTCAACCAGACAATTCAGACTCACTGAGAAATCATTTTGTGTTTGCTTTAACAATTTTTACATTTTTTCAATTTAGTATTTGACTTTGGTTGCAAAAATACTTTTTAATCTAACATTAGCTTTTAAAAATTGTTTTATTGTATGGTTTTGCCTAAATTAATGTTTGAGTTAGATTCATCTTGGTGAGAATTTGTTAACCTCACAGCTTTCTTACCTATTATAAAATCACAACTTAAGCTTATAGAATTACAGTGAAGCAGTGAAGCGGGCACTGCCAGCTTAGTTTAATACAAACAAGGGGATCAGTTTGTTGTCGGCTTTAGTAGAACAGACCGATATTACCTATTCTGTACATCAGAAATTAGAAAAGATTCCTAAAACCATACAGATAGTCAAATAAAAGCAGTGTTGCATAGAGTTACTTCTCGTCATCGGAGTGTACTGTTACTAATCTAATTCTTGCTGCCACTTGCTTATTATGGTGGTTATTTGTCAGAATTGGTTTATCTGCACAGTAAGCCTTTCTGTGTTGATGACTTTCTGGATATGGATATGTAAAACTGGTTTATCTTAATGCGAGTTCATAATGATAAAGTCAGACAGCATTGATTTGTATTTTATACACATTTTACCATGTGTTTCTAACACTATTTATTTACTCTTTTAGTACAACAAGCACCTGTTTGTACATATCGGGCAGACAAATCATTCCTACAGTGATGCCCTGCTGGAGTCGGTGGACATTCGTCAGATTTATGATAAATTTCCAGAAAAGAAAGGAGGACTGAAGGAGCTGTATGGAAAAGGTCCCCAGAATTCCTTCTTCCTTATAAAATTCTGGGTGAGTTTATCAGCAATGTTAAGTATCGTATATAACTGGCACATTGCAGCTTAATTATATTTTGCTGAAATTGATCTTAAAGAATAAGTTTGGTCATTTTCTATATTAAGAGCATTTTCAACACTACCCATACAGAGAGTAAAGCCAACAATGATTTGCCTCTACTCATGGTTAATGCCTGTCAATCTGTCAGTCTTGGATTAGTTTGTCTGCACCATAGACCTCTGTTGTTAGGAAATAATTAAAAACATCAGTGAAACACTGAAACCCCAAATAAATAAATAAAAAGTTGCCCCAAAGACTCAGAATGGCCAAAACGTTTTACAGCATCTGAAGTAAGCAAGAGTCATGAGATCTCTGGATATTCTTAACAAACATTAGGGTCTTGTGCTTTGCAGTGGTGTGTTTCAATATGTGTTTGAACAACAATAGAGGTTTATGAAACAGACGAATAAGCTAATCCAGGACTCAGACTGACAGACATTAACCATGAGGAGAGGCAAATCATTGCTGGTTTTATTCTCAGTATGGGGAGTGATGAAACTACTGTTAATAGAGAAAATGACCGGCCTTATCCTTTAATATCTTTACCACTTTGAAAATTGTGGATGGCAGAACCCCTGTTCAGTAACAGTCTGTTCAGGTTTGTCTTTAGTGACTAAGCGTATTAGTCTGTAGAGAGAAGACTGCTTTCTTAATGTTTGCAGAATGCATAGCAGGAGAGCTTTTCATCAAAGCACTCTCTAATTCAATGTAATATTTCCAAACAATAGAGTGACCTGGCTGCATTCCTAATGGCTGTTTAAACATTGCCTGTATTCCCTCCCTGATGCAAAATGCTAACTAGCGGCACCCAACAAAGTAGGAACGAACACAGTGGGACCAAGTCCCCTCAAATTCCTTTTGAAGTGACCGACCAATCTAAATTTCAAATGAAAGAGAATCTGCACAATAATGAATGTATAACTGCTTTGCTTAATGAAGGAGAATGTTGTAGGAGGATGTCTCCTCTTTTTGTATCCATAATGAACAGGATGTTCAGGGCATAGAAAGGCTGCCCTCCGGGAGCAGACCCATTCAACCTTGTAAATCAGTTTTCTAACGTAACTTCATTTAATCCTCTTAAGAATCTTGTTTCCAATATGGACACATTAGCATGCTTATTCAGATGTGGCTCAGATCTTCTAATTCAATATGCGATGTACATGCATAATTGACAATTCTGTGATCACAAAACTCTCAATACAACATTTATAATTTAACACATTTCAACTAAATTCTGGCTTCCACTAAGATGCCAAGTTACATGCTAACTATATGCAGTATATACTATACTAATCTTTATAACATGTACTTCCACTTTGTATTCAAGAAGACATACTTGTTTTATAATAAGATACAGTTCCTGTGCTGTGCGATGTGATAATGCCACTGCCATTTATACTTCAAGTGGCTATAATTTATAGTTTTTAACAATGTATCAAATGACAAAATTTAATCTAGAATTATTGCTTGACAGTGGTATGCCTCCGCCATACGGATGTACAGATGAACTGAAAACATGCTATCGCCGGTGTGGAGGCATAACAATGTAACAATATCTGAAAGGACTTTCTAATAACAGAGAATCATCAGCTGAATGTGCACCTCTCCTCAGGCTTCACAGAGCTTTATTGTGAATTCCAGCTCAATGTGTAGCATTCAGCCTGTGAATTTACTGTTTCGGTTCCCACTTACTATGCTAAAAAAATCCGTTTTCACTGCTGTAAACGGCAACAAAAAAAAAGTATGCTAACTGCTCAGCAACAAACAGACAGTGGCAGTTAGCAACAGTTAGCTAGTGAACATAGTAGAGCATATTTCCATCAAGAGTTGGTACAGACCAAAAACCGAGGGAGAGTGACTATGGGACACACAGTCGTTTCAGAAAGTATTCAGACCCCTTCACTTTTTGCACACTGCATTATAGTTTTAAAAAAATTGAAAAAAATTTTTTGTCCATCAACCTACGCTCAATGATGAGTGGAAACCTGTTGGTATACAGGTGTGCAAGCACTGTACAAGTATTCTTGCAAGTATTTAATTTCACCAGAAGGCAGCAGAGTCCTGCACCAGGTTGGGTAGCCACAAAATATGATGTGTAACAGGTAAACAATATGTTCATATTAATTCACGGGTACGGGTATGGGTACAGGAAAAAAAAAAAAAACTAAATGCAGGAGGGCAGCAAGTGAAATAAACACTATAAAATTAAAAATATATGTAAAGATGCAGCTTCTTTTAAACATCTAATCCAGCATAATTCTATCAAGCCTAGATAACCGATACATTTATTGTGCAGGCCTATGGCACAACCTTTGACCCGTCAACTCGCATCCAGCTAATAGAACATCATTCAAACATCAACGTAGGCGTGCATCAGTGTGTCAAACTGCATAACCTAAATGTGAAAATAGGCACTGGAGAATACAAAACTAGGAGCCCGAGCTTGTGCAGGAGGTTGAGAGGTACCAGCTAGAGATAGTCGGGCTCACCTCCAAGCACAGCTTGGGCTCTGGAACCTTACTCCTCGAGAGAGGCTGGACTCTCTACTACTATGGAGTTGCCCGCGGTGAGAGGTGGTGGGCTGGTGTGGGCTTGCTCATAGCTCCCCAGCTTAGCTGCCATGTGTTGGAGTTTACCCCGGTGAACGAGTGTCGTTTCGCTGCGCCTTGGGGTCAGAATAGGTGTCTCACTACCGTTTGTGGCTATGAGCCGAATAGGAGTGCAGAGTACCCGGCCTTCTTGGAGTCCCTTGGAAGGGTGCTGGAAAATGCCCTGACTAGGGACTCCGTTGTTCTACTGGGGGACTTCAACGCTCACGTGGGCAGCGACAGTGACACCTGGAAGGGCGTGATTGGGAGGAACGGCCCTCCCGATCTGAACCCGAGTGGTGTTTTGTTATTGGACTTCTGTGCTAGCCACAGTTTGTCCATAACGAACACCATGTTCAAGCATAAGGGTGTCCATCAGTGCACATGGCACCAGGACACCCTAGGCCAGAGGTGAGCTGATGTACCAGAGTCAAATTCCTTGTGTGTCCAACACACCTGGCCAATAAAGCTGATTCTGATTCTTATTCTGAATTTTTATTCAGACCAAGCTGCCATATCATTTTGCTATACAGTAAAACCTTGGATTGCGAGTATAATTCATTCCAGCAACGTGCTCATAATCCAAAGCACTCATATATCAAAGTGAATTTCCCCATAATAAATAATGGAAACTCAAGATGATTCATTCCACAACCACTTGTCCATATAAAAACAATTACAGTAATACAAAATACACTATAAATTAAAAATAAAACAAATCATCCTGCACTTTACCTTTGAAAAGAATTGTGGCTGGCGTGAGGGGACATTGTTGCAGTACAGATGTTGACTATACGATTGAGGCGCGAGAACCATCGGCTCAGCTGTGATGTGATGCTTGGCAGACAAAGCGTACGTACTACTTGTATTGCAAGACCTCGCTCGTTTATCAAATTAAAATTTTTGCTCGTCTTGTAAAACACTCACAGATGAGGTTACTTGCTATCCAAGGTTTTACTGCACTAGTATAGAAAAAGATTGAATGAATCAGGGATGTGGAGATATTGAAAAATCTTTATTGAAACGGGAATGTTTCTGGATACAAACCCTTAAAACTCTACATCTCAGTGGTTTAAACAAGGAATATAATCCAGGTGTCTTTCTATGAGGCGGAGGCAAAAACTTGGGTCTGGGAAGAGTTCGGTGAGGCCATGGAGAAGGACTATCGGTCGGGCTCGAAGAAATTCTGGCAAACAGTCAGTCACCTCAGGAGGGGGAAGCAGTGCCCTGCCAAAACTGTTTACAGTGGAGGTGGGCAGCTGTTGACCTCAACTGGGGACATCGTTGGACAGTGGAAGGAATACTTCGAGGATCTCCTCAACCCCGGCGTCATGTCTTCCGATGAGGAAGCAGAGGCTGGGGCTCGGAGGTGGACTCATCCATCACCCAAGCTGAAGTCACCGAGGTGGTTAGGAAGCTTCTCTGTGGCAAGGCACCGGGGGTGGATGAGATCCGCCCTGAGTACCTTAAGGCTCTTGACATTGTGGGGCTGTCTTGGCTGACATGCCTCTGCAACGTCGCATGGCGGTTGGGGACAGTGCCTCTGGCCTGGCAGACAGGGTGGTGGTCCCTCTTTTCAAGAAGGCGGGCCGGAGGGTGTGTTCCAACTATAGGGGGATCACACTGCTCAGCCTCCCGGGAAAGTCTATGCCAGGGTACTGGAGAGGAGAATTCGACCGATAGTCAAACCTCGGATTCAGGAGGAACAATGTGGTTTTCGTCCTGGCCGTGGAACAATGGACCAGCTCTATACCCTCTTCAGGGTGGCGGAGGGTTCATGGGAGTTTGCCCAACCAGTCCACATGTGTTTCGTGGATCTGGAGAAGGCATTCGACCATGTCCCTTGCAGCGTCCTGTGGGGGGTGCTCCGGGAGTACGGGGTCTGGGGCCCTTTGCTTAGGGCCGTCCGGTCCCTGTACGACCGGAGCAGGAGCTTGGTTCGCATCGCCGGCAGCAAGTCAGACTTGTTTCCAGTGC